TTTTTTTTTTTTTTTTTTTTTTGTCTTTCAAATACACTATTTGTCCTCCATTTCAGAAGGATAGCCTTTCTGGGTAAAGTATTCTTGGCTGGCAATCTTTGTCTTCTAGTATTTTGAATATATCATCCCATTCCTTTCTAGCTTTTAGGGTTTGTGATGAAAAGTCTGATGTTAGCCTGATTGGAGCTGCCTTATAGGTGATTTGATGCTTCTCTCTCGCAGCTTTTAAGATTTTCTCTTTGTCTTTGAGTTTTGCCAATTTGACTATAACATGTCTTGGAGAAGACCTTTTTGGGTTGAATACATTTGGAGATCATTGAGCTTCCTGGATCTGAAGATGTGTGATTTTTCCTATGCCTGGGAAGTTTTCTGCCACTATTTTGTTGAATATGTTTTCAATACATTCTCCTTTTTCCTCCCCTTCTGGAATACCCATGAGTCGGATATTTGAGTGAGAAAGCAGTAAATTGATGATAAATGCCTTCATCTGTCAAAATGCTGCTTAGGAGCACCTTTTTTTTTTTTTTTAAATAACTCCTTTGCAGTCAGCTAATTAAATTTTATTCTCTTGTGGTTTTAGTGAGAAATTTGTTTGGAGACAGATATAAGTAGGATCTTAATTCTGTAATTCTATTATATGTATATTTTTTTCAGTGAACTGTAAGTTTCTTAGCCCAGTTTTGTGTTGGCTGGCTCTATATAATGTCACTTGAGTAGATATAGTACCAACTGAAGTTTTTAAAAAAATTATTCTCATTATAAAAAGCTGAAGCTGAATATTTTAGTCAGATAAGATCATAATGATTAACCTTTTGAGGATGAACTATAAGACAATGAAAACTTTTGGTTTGCTTGGTTTGGTTGAATTGCAGTGTCAATTGCCTTATTCTTATTAAACCATGTCTTTTATTTTTCTTTCAAAAATTCTCCTCAGCTTCTTCATATTGGAGCGTGTATTCAGAGACAAGTAACGTGGACAGACTTTTGCCATATTCCTCAGTGCTCACTTGGGATACAGTAAGTTAACACTTTGAATTTCATATGCAATAAAAATCAATTCACATTTGTGGATCTGTTGTAGGACATCCTTGTTATACTAACCAAGGTTGTGTTTCTTATCTGTTTTGACTGATATGGAACTGAGTTGGAATTTTCTGGCAGAAAAGTAATAGTGAATCTTTATATTGACCAAAAATATTTATATAAAATGGTAAAATTTAAGGAGAAGGTACAGTGTATTTGTTACTCTTCCTACTACCAGGCGAAACTTAACTCTATTATGGTATTTTTATAAAATGGTATTTTTATTTTAATTTTCTTAGTGACTAGAGTAGATTAAAATATTTCTTAGGTTTTTATAAATGAGGACTAGCTGGACCACTGCTGCTATACTTGGTAGATTAGGACCTTCATTAACCCCTTTTCCCAGCCTCACAAAGAAAATCTGTAATAACTCCAGAGCTTCAAGGTCAGTAAAACTCAGCAATCTTAAGCAAACTCACTCCATTCAACCTCTTCTTCCTGTCGGTCTGGACTCCCTCCTTTTAACTTAGGAAGTGCTAAGCTAAAACACTCTTCATTTTCTCTTGAACGATGCAGTGAACTGAGCTTTGTTGGACTAGCAAGTAGAAACTGTGTCGGCAGCACCTGAAAATGTTCTGCCTCTTCTCTTTTCATAGTTAGATGTTGGAACTACATGCTTAGTGTTGAGGCAGAGGTTTGCCTCAAAAAAGTATTTAGAAAAATAAATTCAACTTAGATAACACAGACATAGGTACATATTTATGTACTAGGACAAATTGTAACACTTCTCATTTTGTATTTGGACCATGTCTTAGTATAGTCCTTAAAAAAGGATGTATCAAGTGTATTTGATTAAAAACTTTTGATATGCACAATGGTAGTGTTTTCCTAAAGCCTCTTTCTTCTTGTCCTTTACTGTTGTTGTTATTAGATTTTCATGTCTCCCACATTTTTCTTTAAGAACACTGGTGAATTTACATGCAGACTCTGTGGTAGTGAGGCAGGAAGTCTGCAGGTTACACCACCCAGCCTGGAGTCAGGAAATGTACATGTGGGCTCCCTTCACTTACTACCCACTGCTGTCTTGTCCTGGGTTTGAAGTTTCCGGAGGCAGGGCTGGGACCACTGTTCTCAGGGTTGTGTTAAATGACAAGAGCACATGTTAATTGGATGTCATGCAAGAGTATTATCCTGATGGGAAGTGCTTCACTTTTGCATTTCTCAGGCCTCTGTGGGGCAGAGGAGCCATTGTGCACATACACAGAGTGACATCTGGAAGTCCCACAAGAAGGGCAATCTAAAGAAACCCGCAGTTTCAACCTCTGTACCGAGTTTATTTTGGGGTTTACCATGTCACTTTAAACTTCTTGTGGTTGGAGTAGGTTACCTGATAGGGCTCTTTTAATCTTGAAAGTCTGAGTCTGTGCTTATCTTTAGCAATGATGTAAATCATTTACTTTTTCTTTCTCTACTCTACAAGTGTTCTTAATGCTACGACCTTAATAAAAACTTGCTACAGTAGAAAACATTAATTTCACTCTTCTGTATGGAGAATGGAAACAACTAACTTGGATTTTAAAGTGCTATTCATAACCTATAACTCTTATGGAATTCTAATGCTTTTTTGAGGTATCCTTTGTTGCTGAGTAGTGATTAGTGAAGCACACAACAGATTTTCATCACAGGCTTTCTACTGTCACAGTGAAGAACGCCAGTGTATGAATGTTCTGAAAATTTTTCTATTTCTGTGATGCCCTTTTTCAAGGGAACAGTGTATATTGGTAAAATCTAGATCATTTAAGTTCTAAACAAATGCCAATTTTTATTTCTACATAACACACTTCCTAAATTATTTTCTCATATATTATCTACTTTTTTTTAGGAAACGAAAGCTGAATTGACCAGATGAGAGGCTGATTAGATAATTAACATGAGACACATTTTTCAAAATCAGTGAATAAAGCACAATTTTGGAAGTTTATCCTTTCATTAAATTTGTTTTAATGCTTACTAGTTAGCAGAATATCATTTGCACTGTCTGATATGAATTGCTCACCTTTCAGGTTTGCCATGGTGATGGTGCTGTAGAAACTCGTTATGGGGAGCTCTAATCTCTGAAATTGTGGGGGTCGATGAAGCACAGAAAAATTTTCCGTTTAAGTTATGCAAGAATTCCATTAATCTTGGTTCCTTCTAGTGAGGCCAATCATAATAAATTAAAGTGAAAGAGAAGAGGAGGGAGGAAGGAGTACAAATAATAAAAAAACATTTCCCCTTTGTTATTACGTTTGATGGTACAAATATAATTTGCCTTTGTTCTTAAATAGAAATGTGTAAAAAATACACTACATGCTCTGTATTTCTTCATAGTAGACTTTTCCTTTCATTTAGCAACCCTGTCAACTATTTTTCATGACTGTAAAGAATATTATCCTGTCCTGAGGCAAGAGATAGGCTGTGCTCAATGTTATTTATACATCCCAAGGTTTATTTAAAGTAGAGACTAGCAGGCTGGAAGCTGTCCTCAGCTTCTGTCTGTGCAGAAAGCACTTCCTGAAGGCATCAGCTTGAGGCAGTTGATATGCTGAGCAGTTGTGTGTATATTTTTTCCCCCGTTATAGGAAATTCCTGGAATAACCCTTGTGACAGAAGAGATCGCATTGCCCCTTATGAAGGTAAGTCCCTCACAGCGAGACTCAGAAGCACAGACATGCGTGACTAAACCTCTGCTGCCCCGAATATCATGGTTGTTCCAAAAGTGATTGCAAACTGGCAGGGAGTAAGGAGCTTGGGATAGGGTTGGTTCTCTGGAGAATTCTTAAGTGGTCGAGTAGTTGCTGAACATGATGTTATAGCAATTCTTAGGAATGCTCTTTTGAAGAGGGAAGTTTTCTGAAGACAGGAGAGTTTTAACTTTGCAGAACTGGCACCTGCCACTGCACCTCATGCCAGTCTGGACTGGAGGTGTTCTTGTAAGTTATCTGTAGGGAGCCTGGTAGCTGCTTTTATTTCAGATGCACTGTCACTCCCTCAAAACGTGTGCACACACGCACACACGCGCAGACACGCAGTTTCCAATAGTAAAACCATAAAGTAACCTAGGCTGGGATTATCTAATTTCCTTCTGGTTCTAAGAACAGCTCTTCTGTTTCTCAAGAGTGATCTATGTTGGCTCATTCTGTGGTCTCAGTCAAGCTCTGCACACCTCCTTCCTGCACACTAAGCTGCAGCTCTTAGTGTCGTTCTGCAATCTGGTGGTTTCAGAAGAGTTTCAGAGTACAATAGGGAGAATGGGGTGGGGCGGGGTGAGTAGAGAGGAACCCATATGCAATTAAAAAACTGGGGAGTATTTTAGCACAGTTTCCTTGAAGCTCCTTTGTTGTTTTTGGCATTGCCTCCTGGTAATTATAGCTTGGTGTGGACTGGGAAATCTCAGCTTTTGGCAGCAGGCAGCTCAGTGTGCTGTGGCCTTTCATTTACATCCGATTCTTTTGAATCCATGAAGGGCAGGCCAGGCTTGGAGAGCTGGGGGAAGGCTGAAGGCCATGGGTGTTGAGGTCACAGAGACGCACACGGGCCGTTTAGTGGTTCTAAATTTTGGCCCTAAGGAGGGTCCCTGAAGGATTGACTGATGGGCTGTGTTTCTAGGTAGAAGTCTGGGACCATTGTGAAGCCTTAATTTTTTTAAATGAAAATATACATGTTGAGAAGGTTTTAGTAATAGTTTAAAAGGTGTATTAAGAAACTCCATCCTTTCATTTCATTGTTTCTGCCTTTACCAATAGTCCTATCCCATCTATAATGTGTTTAATGGACAAACTAGTGAAGAACATTTTTAAAAGAAAGAAATGTCACCCACAATTCTGTAGTCCCTAACATATCAACCGTCTGTTTTCCCCCATTCCTCTTGTTCTTTGTCATAGGTATGCATTTTTAATGGTGATGATACATACATACATATTTGACAGATACTACAAATTATATCATAAACATTTTTCATGTTGCTACAAATGACTCCATAGGATCCCCCTGGGTTGCTGTGTCTTAATTTACTTAATTACTCTTCTGATTTTGGACATTGAGTTTGTCTCTAGCTCCCATTAAAAATCTTTTTGCTGGGCCGGCCCGGTGGCGCACTGTGCTAGTGCGCCGCTTGGGAAGCGCGGTGGCGCTCCCGCCGAGGGTTCGGATCCCACATACAGACCGGATCCCGCTCACTGGCTGAGCGAGGCGCGGGGGCGACACCGAGGGTTGCGATCCCGTTGCCGGTCCCCGGTCCGGTGCGGGGGCGACACTGAGGGTTGCAATCCATTGCCGGACATGGAAAAAGACAAAAAAAAAAAAAATCTTTTTGCTGTTAAAAACAAAGTTGCTGTATATTTTAATGCAGTTTTTCTTTTGATTTATTCCCTTAAAGTTAAATGCCAGGAGTATCATTGGGTGAAAGACTATGACAAGTTTTATAGCTTTTGATTCTTATTGTCAAATTGATATTCAAGAAAAGTTGTGGTAATTTAGACTGGTACAAGTGATTTATGAGTTTACCAGTTTTACTATAACCTTATCAACATGTGTATTTTCATTTTTAAAAAATTAAGTATAAAAGAGTGGTGGGAAGATCCTTTTAAACTTTTTACCCATTGGCTTATTCAAGAAATACAACTTGGCTTTGCTTCGGGACAAAGTAGCTAATTTTTGCAGTTTTTTTTCCCTCCATGTACATGTGTAAAATGACTTATGTCCTCCATGGGTTTTTTCCTCCTTTGACATTCCCTCTTTCTTTCTCCTCACTTTTTTCTCCTCTTCCCTAATTATTGTTAGCATTTGGCTCCATGGACAATTGTTCTCCATTAACCAGTCCCACACATGCTTGGGTGCTCTTTGGTGACTCCACTTGTATTCTAGATCTTTTATGACCCTCTCCATACAGACGTGATCCATCAGGGAAGGCAGAGGTATGCTGCTGGGCCTGGCTTTGGATTCAGGAGAAGACGGTCCTGGATTTGGTTTGACCATCAGCCTCCACCTCCACCCCAACCACTCAGCATGGGAGACTAAGCAGTACTTTCTGGTTCACAGGATACCTGGCCCTGAATGTCTGTTGCCCCATCTCTGCTTGCATAATACTCCTCACTGTAAGCTGCTGCCTTTGCCTTTAACCTACTTCTTCTACCCCAAGTTCCAACTTAATTATGCAGTGATGGATGTGGTTGCAGTGGCACATCCTACTGTCTGCTCCTCCCTCCCTAATCCCAGTTATGTGACTGTCCTGGCCATGCTTACTTGGTAGGAGTTGGCTCTGAACACTCATGGCCTGAGTCACAAATTACCTTTAGAGTGCAAGCTTGTTGCCCAACTCTGTTCTTGAGGCCCAAGGGACCTCTAGTATAACCACACCTATTTCGATTCTCCTTGGGAGATGAGTGTCCTGATAAGGAGTCCAGGGAGGGATGGGAAAAATGGAACTAGATGTGCACTTGCTTCATGCTCTCTCTGCAAATAGTTTTGGTGTGAGGTGGAGCACTTTGTGAGTGTGTAATATGTTGCTATGGTCTGAATGCGTCTCACCCCCTACTCCAAATTCATATGAAGTCCTAACCCCCAAGTGATAGTTTTAGGAGGTAAATCTTTTGGGAGGTGTAGTGGATTGAATTATGTCCTCCCGAAAACTCACTGAAGCTTGAATTGTGTCTCCCAAGTTTTATGTGTTAGAAACTTAGCCCCCACTGTGATTGTTAAGAGGGTGGGAAATCCTATTATGGTGATTGAAAGGTGGAGCCTTGAAGAGGTGATTGGATTGTAGGACCATGCTGCAGTGAATGGATTAAAAATGGTGGTCAGGAGCATGGTTCTGAGGGCTTTAAAAGAAGAGGAGTCTTTCTCTCTCCCTCCCTCCCTCCCTCTCCCTCCCTCTCCCTCCCTCTCCCTCTCTCCCTCTTGCTCTCTCTGCTTCCACCATCTTCCAATGTGAGACCCCTGGGTTACTGTCACCACCACCAGATGGACTTTGAACTTCCCAGCCTCAGAAACTGTAAGCAATAAATTTCGTTTTTCTTTATAAATTACCCAGTTCCAAATATTCTGTTATCACAAAACAAAACAGACTAATACAGGAGGTGATTAGGTCTTGAGGGCAGAGCCCTGGTGACTGGGATTAGTACCCTTATAAAAGATACCCCATAGAGCTAGCTTGTCCTTTACACCATATGAGATTACAGTGAAAACACCACCATCTAGAAAGCAGATCTTCATCAGACACTGAATCCACCCACACCTTGATTTTGGACATTCCAGTCTCAAGAACTGTGAAAATTAAATTTGTTGTTATAAGCCACCCAGTTTATGGTATTTTGTTATGTCAACCAGAACACACTAAGACATACATGAACATGTTAGGGTAGATAAACTAGTTAAATTAGAAGATTGTCACCTGAAATACAAGACTTCTTCACTTTATAAATGGCTCCCAAAAGAATTTTTTAAAAGTATATTGAAGCAAGGTCATTGCCTTAAAAGCAATGTCATCAAGAGTGACCTTCCTAAGAATGATTTATCCCTTTTGTAAACTATGGGTTGCTTAGGGGACTTTCATAAAAACAACCAAAAAAAACAAAACATTACTTACTAGAAAGAGGGCATCAGGCTGGAGAACTAATTCCTGTCATTTCTGTAGAGAGATGGGTATGTCTTCAGTCTACTTCCTAGGTGATGAAATTGAGGAACAGACTCAGGATAAGGACTTCTTGTTTTTGTTTCTTTCCTACTAGCCACTAGGTTGTGCTGCTGTTATTCATAATTTTAGTTGGGGACATAATGTTTTAATTCTTATGGTCGAGAGGAGGGAAATGTCTTAGCCTTGGCTTTCTCAAAGTATATGCCGATTTTGAAATAGAATAGTTTAGACACATATTTAGTGATTATATTAAAAAATCCAGCCCATTAAAAATGGCTAATAGAACTACCCAGCTGGGCAAAGGAGTAGAAATTTTTGCTAGATACTGGGGAAGAAGGAGGAAGTACATTTGTATTCGGGAGACCTTGAACTTGCAGCATGTACTTCCCCTAGGGGACAGCTTCAAGAGTTCTAGTCACTTGTCTTGTTAATTATAATATGGATATTCCTATTTAGAGCATCTTAGTTTAGTATGGTGCCTTGCTACTTTTATGTACACGTAGTCATCTTCTATTCTGTCTGTGCTAGAGGTACTGGGTAGCTGTGTTCCTCTGGACTGTAAGTAAAAGCTGATACTGAGATGGCATCCGCTGAAGTGTCAAACTGGATTGATGCTTTAGCTCTGCTAATTGAGTCCTGGTACACAGAGTAAATGGTTCTCTCCTAGTTGGCCACCTCCCTTGTAAGAAGATGCTGGTTAATAAGCAGAAGTAGGACCAAAGCCAGAGGGCCTTTTAGAAATGAAAGGCAGATGTTTTTTCCTGGCAGTAATTTGCGGATGAGCCAATACCATAGGGCTTTGTTTTCTTTTGTTTTTGGATCCACTGGCAATCCAAATCGTAAATGGGAAACAGTCCCTTAATGTGTTCCATTGGTCCTTTTGTTCAATTTATAGTCATGATGGGCTGCATTTGTTAATTGTTTCATGTCATTCTAAGAGACAAAATGAGATTATTTCTGAAGAAGAGACTTGGAATAATTTTCCTTCTTTCAAAATGAAAATTTTAAACTACACTTTGTGCAGGAAAATGCTCCTAGGTCATTCCTTGAGGATCTGATTGCTTCTAACCCGAGTCTCCCAGAAGTAGCTAAATTCATGGTTATTTTTCTTATAAAGCATTTTTGTGTATTTTTAAAGCATTATGAGCTCTTTTCAAGTAGCTTGTGATGTGCGTCTTAGGCTGTTGTGGCTTTCACTTTGTGGTGGTGGTGTTCCTGCTCAGGGCAGCACTCAGTTCTCGCCTTGTGGTGTAAGTGCTAGTTGACAGAGTGGTTTTCTGTGCTCACAGGTTCATCCTTGAGCATAAGTGGAAGATGGTGAGCCGTGGTTCTTGGAAAGCGATTATGCAGATTCTATTCTCCCCTCTGCTTCTCTCTGTATTAGGTTATACCATCTAAAATTTTATGTTGGAGCTACTTTTATTCTCTGGGTTAAGAAACATGTTGGTCTTGGCATTTAGGATCCCTCAAGGATTGCCACTATCCTCCTCTTTAACCATATCTCCTCTTATTTATTTTATTTTTTATTTATTTTATCAATATACAAAGTAGTTGATTTTCATGTCCCTTTACCAATTCCTCTCTCCCCCTTCCCTTTTCCCCCTCCCCCCATCAACATCATATCTGTTCACTTGTCTTAAGTTCAAGGAATTGTTGTGTCATATCTCCTTTTAAACAACACAATCACAAGTCTTCAGCCAGCTGGATCTTTATTGGCCTTTAAGTCAGAAGTAGGGTAGGTTGAGTAAAATGTTTGAGGGTGGGAGGAGGACTGGGATTACTTGGATGTTCTCAAGGAGTGTTCTTAGCCCTGGCTGAATATCAGGATCACCTGGGGAACTTGCAAAATCCAGGAGGCTCAGATTATACCCCAAACCAATAAAACCTCTAGGGGGTGGGACCAAGGTGGTTCTAATGGACAGCCAAGCCTGGGGATCGCACTCTAGAGGCCTCTCTTCAGCGTGGAGAATGAAGTGCTGTTGGTGGTTTGTTTTGCTCTCTCTGATGCTCTGTCTCTGATCTAGACCCAGAATCCGTATTCTAGTCTCTCAGTCTTTGCTCATGCCATAAAAGCCCCACCTGGAATATCCTCTACTCAACCTTCACTTACTCGAATCCATTTCCATCTTCTGGGCCTTATCCCAGGCTTCCAAATAGACCTTTCAATTTACAGTGATCTTTGTGAATTTTCTAAACTTAAAAAAAAAACAAAACTATCACTTATCTAGTAGATACCAAATAGTGACATACACACTAATTGTTTTTTTCTGTGCTCTCTTAATATCTGTAAGATGCTATAATAGGTCAGTGACCTCCCTGAAAGACCTATAAGTTTAGGTAAAAATAGTTCTGGGACTTTTGGCTAACTGTGTTTCTTAAACATAAATTTTTGTTTTTGTTTAGTTTTAAATTCAGATCCTCTTCCTTCTAAGTCGGTGGTTTTGAACTATTTTAGGCCACAGATTCAGCCCATCTCTCCAGAAAAGTGCTCATACAAACACACACTCCATTTTACATGCAGTCAGTGGGTGCTCCAGCCCCTTTGAAGCCTTACCATGGACCTGTCCAGAGCTCTGTGTTATCTGTTTATTCTTAGCTGATAACAGGTTATGAAGAAAGGGATTTTTTAAGTGGGGGAGTGAAGAGAAGGAAGGTAATTTGGGAAAGATCTTTTCTTAGGAGCCACAGTGTGAGTGGGGTCTTCTGACAGCAGGACGGCATTTGGCCTGAGAGGACAAGGCCAGATAACAGGTAGGACACCTGAGTCTCTCCCCTCCTGTCCCAGGCAAGGTCTGGGTGAACCGTGTCATGGGAGGCCTGTGGCAAAGCAGGCAGAGTTAATAGCTTAACTGACCACTAGATGTCACCCCAACACCAGTTAGTTTTCCAGCTTTTGGCAGTAGTGTGCCGGAGCCCAGATGCTGGACAGCAAGAAGGCCATAGTGACTTCCAGTCAGGGACCTAATACTGCCAGATGTCTGCAGGATTTGTCTTAATATTTTTCAATATAAAGAAGAACCAAAGGGTAGATAAAAGTACTTCTCTTACAAATAGAAAGGGAAAGAAAAGATAGACAAGGTAGGTCAAGTGAGGAGAGAGACTTGACACCAGTGCTCCTGTCTCCCTTGGAAATGACACTTTTTTTTTTTTTTATAGGAATTTAAATTTTCTTTATGTGGAGTAGGAGAAGATAGAGTTTGTTCGAATATTTAAAAACTCAAACCTATAGATGCTTTAGGAACACTTTAAGTATCTTCTCAAGAAATTTAAAGCTTCCTTCTATTCATTCCTGAGTAAGCAGACTTGGATCACCAGAGGCTAGATGGGAATTCTAGTAACTCTGAGTGTCACTGACCCTGCCTACTGTATACATGGGAGGCACCCACTTCTCATACTGACATTTGAAAGAGCTGGGGGAACAACAGCTTAATGTACCACACATTTTCTTTGGATCACAGATAATTCCCCCAGAAAAATTAGAAGATGCTCTATACATCAATGCTAACTTTGCCCCACACTCACATGTACTGAGGAGGGAAGGCTGTTGAAGAAATTAGCACAAAGGTGGAGATGACACTTTCTTGAAAATAAAGTCTGTGGGAGAAAGGATGCTGGCTGGATGGGCATTTCAGGCTTCTAAAATAGCAAGTTTCAATATTACCATGTAATTCACTTTATTGATACTTCAAAATCCACTTCAAACCAAACGTGACTGTCTTTGCAATACACATTTGGATAATGTGCTTTTACTTAACATTAGGGCATTTTTCTTGATTGAGGTATATTTCATTTCTCTTATTTTTCTTGCAGCTCAGCCAAGTCTGTCACCACAGTAGGCAATAGCTCACTTTGTCTTGTGGCTACACATTGATTGCACCCTTGGCCCAGTCAGGTCTTTTATAATTAAAGTCAAATCTTGCACATATTTTGACAAGAAAGCATGTATCATAAATCTTTATTGGTTTAAAAAACAACTTGTCATATCCTTCGACATTAAATGTATTAACATTGAATTTTATTACTTCAAAATGAATATAATGGATACATTCTTGCTTCAATGTAGTACAATTATACCAATAAATCAAAGATCTAGATAGAATGCCAATTCTGTCTTGGAGTATTTCACAACTGAAGGTGAAACTAGTTTATTTCATCTTTTTTTATTCCTAAATTTTGGAAAATATCCTTGGATATAAATAAGCTTAGCAGGAAAGTAAGCCTACTTTAAAATTAGTCCAAATTTTATGAACATTCTCTGACTGAACATGGCGTTGTTGACACAACCTAAATCAGAAAAATGGGTCTCTAGGGAGAAAATGACTTGATGTATTTATCATGGGCTTCCCCACTAAGTCTCAACCCAGGGAAGTCCTGCTGGTTTTGGGAAGTGAGCGACAGTTCTGTTGTAAAGAGGATAGAAAATGTAAGGCAAGACTCTTTAAAGTCTCTCTACTTTAGAATTCCTGCTGGGACTAAAATGCCATCCATCATGGGAAGTATTCAGTCTGAAATGCTGCCACGTGGGAAGCATCATGTGAAGGCTTGCGTGATCCTTGCTGGGTAGTTTGGGCCACAGGCCCTGCTTGTTAAGCTTGATGTTTTGTCTCTTGCAGGTGCACAGCTTTAAGGGTTACTGGGAAAAACTGAACTCCAACCTAGAATATGTTAAGTACGCCAAGCCACAATTATGCTATAAAAACAGTGTGGTCAGGAGAGAGTGGCACAACCTGATCTCGGAAGAGGTATGTGTGGGTCAGTGAGAATAAAGCAAGCAGCAAAAGCATAGTGAATTAGATCCAGGTGATGCTTTTACATCATAACGCTGGCTTACATTTGCATCACTCTTACCAATTGCCAGGCACTTTTACATTGTTGTCACTGATCTCCCGATAGGCAGACAGTGACACTTCTATGATCTTTGTCCTCCTGAGGAGGAAACGAAGTAGAGAGATTAAGGGACACACCGCACATTCACAGTAGAAGTATGATTAGTATCCATGTCTCGGATGTGTTCTTGGGTTACTTTTATAGTTAAAAATTGATTTTAAAAAATCTAGGTGCTCCTAAATTAGTGGTTGCGAGGGGTTGGGGTAGTTGGGGGAGAAGAATGGATGTGACCAACTGTAGCCCAAAGGAGTTCTTTGAGGTGATGGAACAGTTGTGTGTTTTGATTGTGGAGGTACATTGTGGATATGAACTGACATGATTAAATGATATGGAACTATATGCACGTTGTGCCAATGTCAACTTCCTGATTTTGTTGTTATACTATAGTTACGTAAGATTATACACATTGAAGGAGACTCGGTGAAAGGTACATGGGATCTCGCTGTAATGTTGCATATAGTTAGTGTTATATATAGTTGACTCGCAACTACTTGTGAATCTGCAATTGTTTCAGAATAAAATGTTTTTAAAATCTAGGTGTTTTGATTATCTGGAAAATATATTTCTTCTTTCTGAAGCTTCTAACTATATTGCATTATGTCCTTGATGTGAAAAGTCACCCCCAAAAGCTTCACCTTTCACACTCTGAAATGTTCTCACTCCTAGAAAACAGGAAAGAGAAGGTCCACAGCATATGTGAGGAATATTCTTGATAATTCAATAAAGTAAGTAAAGGTAAAAGTTATTGTGTCTGTAAGATGGTTATCTTTTGTAGTTACCTTGTTGGCTCCGTTTCATGGAACTAGCTTACTTACTTTTGTTGTACGTCCTCAGCAAAATGATGCTGGCAGTGTCATGAATGCAGCCACTGGGCCTTATTCAGGTGTTTGGTGCTGGAGTTTCTAGTGGGAAAAGCTTATATATTAAACCTTATATACTTGTGCCCCAGGGATGGATGATTTACAAAGGATAAGTGGAGAGAGAGTGTTTATTAAGTGAGCACTTGTGGGGAAAAGGGCAGACACTAGGCTGACATTAAAAAAAAAAAGTTATTGGGCTTGTGAGCTTGCTCTTGTTTTGAAAGCATATTTTCTGGGTAGATGAGTCATCTCAGAGTGCTAAAAGTATAGGCCCCATTCCAACTTTTGTTCTATTTTCTGTCCCCATTGTTTTTAATAACTGAGAGCTGCAATTGTTCTAAATCATCGCCTTTGTTGGTTTTGAGATTTTATAATTGCCTATTGTGGCTTTCGCTAGATCGATTAAAGTTTTTGAGGTTTTTCAGCAGCCTGAGAACAGTTTCTGCAGTGGTTTTATGGTTTTTAGGGGTTTTTTTGCTCTTTTTTTTTTTTTTTAAAGAGGATGTCTTCATATAGTGTTGTGGCTTTAATTTTTTTTTTCCAATAATGCTTTCTGTATGAATAACACGACTAATTTCTTTATAGGGTGATTTCTAACCTAGAAGCAAGGAATTTGGGTAAGAAAAGACCTGTAATAAAGCCTTCTGGGTTTCAGTCAGTGTTTTGTTTGTAAAACTGTTCTTCCTCACAGCTGTGGGTTAGCAAGAAAATCACTTCCAGTAGTGTAATGAAATGGTAGCACCTTTTAGTATCTTGACGTTAGAGCAGCCACGCAGCTCTTTGCACATCTGTCTTGGAATCAGGACCTTTGGGGATGGCTGCTGAATGTGCTTTTGTGTGAGGAGTCACTTGGGGGTGGGCCTCTGGTTTTGATCATTTCTGCTCATAGAATTGATCTAATTAACGTGCCCTCTGGCTGTACCCACAGGATGCACTTTGGCAATTCTCTTGGCTTGGGGCTGCTTTCTCTCCAGCTGTCTGATTATACAGGGTCTTCAGCTTGTATGCATCTTTCATTTTGGTTAAAACTTGGGCATGCACTGGGCTAGTTCCTATGGGTACAAAGATGAGGAGCCTTTAGAGAATGGTGTAGTTCTGGGAAAAGAGCATGGGTTCAGGAGCCACACAAAACCAGACTTAAATTCCAGCGCTGCCACGTGCTGACCATGTGCTCTTGGGTGAGTTATTCATCCGTTTTGTGCATTGTCCTCCTCAGGACTAGAGTGAAGAGAACCTGAGAGTAAACAGGGTAATGGAGACAGCACTGAGCACAGCGCTCAGCCACCCGAGGTGGCTGCTTTAGCGAGTGTGTGGGGAAGAAATGCTAACCCATCATTTCTAAACCAAGGGACAGGTATTATGTAAACCCCAGGTGCAGCGGGTGAGGGGCTAGGTCAGGAGTGGGGATGGTTGGGGGAGATAGGGAGGTGACATCCCAGAGGCCTTAAGTCTTGACAAACAAGGGGGACTTAGGTGAAATGGAGGAGGGGAATGCTGAGTAGAGTATATTCAGGTACAAGCCTTTTTTGAGGAGCGCATTCATGCCCCGTAAAGGGCAGCCTTCATCAAATAAGCTGGTGTTTTTATATGCCACTCCTGTTTTGTGGGCTTGGCTGTTTTAAGTATATGTTGGGTGATGCTAACGGAAATTACTTCATATGGTGCACAGTGCGTAGCTGCATATCCTGTAGCTGTGCACACAGCCCAGGGAACTGTGATGGTGAACTTGTGGTCCAGCCCAGGCTGATAATGCCTGGGCTCACTAAACAGCCCAGGGGAAGCAGCCTCTTCCTGTGTTACCAGGCCACCATTCCTGAAGCCAAGGTTCTGCCCTGCCAGACGGGGGTGTGAGTATGTGCAATTCAGGCTCACCCTTTGCATTGCTAAGGGCTTTGAAATGTGGGGAATGTTGCTGGTCGGGTGGGAGTTTCTGTTGTCTGCACCTCCTGCCCTGCTTACAGAGCTGCTCCTGCTCTGTGCTTTTAGGCCTCTTTGCATCCTGTTACTAGTCACCCCCAAAACAGAGTAGGTGTAGACACAAGCCTGTTTGGAGGCACTAGAGTGAATATTTCATTATCTTTGCATGTCAAGGCACTGTGCTGAGTGTCTGGCCACTGTGCAGTCTCTCTTAATGCACTTTAGGAAACTCTTCCCTTCCTCTCACGTGCTCTGCTTGTACTAGTTTCCCGTGTAGAATGCTGTCACTGCCTGAAACAGAACACTCTGTAAAATGCACGGCTGTTGGGCTCACATTTTGAATTATTTTATCCTGATCACGAGGATTGTGTAGGATACAGGTAGAATTTATCTCAAAGGGCCTCGTAGAAGGAGTCATCAGCCCACTGGGCAGGGCGGTTCTGGCTTCTTGGCTGGCGGTGCTGGGCCTCGGGTGTTCTGGGAGAGGAAGAACAGAGCGTGAAGGTGTGCTAAGGCAGATCTTCCAGCGAGACTGTTTGCCTGCCCCTCCGCTCTTGCTAGTGCAGTGCAAGTCATGGTGAAGAACGTACTATTTGACTTAACCTTACATGTCACTTTTCCATCTTGATCTATTCACCTTTTCAGTCTGATAGCTTGTATTATTTGCCACAGTAATTGGTCTTGTCAGCTCAGTAACTCCCAAAGTCACTGACTATGGGGGTCAGAAAGTAGAAGGAAGAGGGAGGTGGAAAGAGGAACAGGTAAAGGGACACAAAAATCAACTACAATGTGTATTGAGAAGTTAAAATTTAAAAAAAAAAAGAAAGTAGAAAGGAGATGTGCAATTCTTCTGTCGAGCGGCTGTCCCTTGGTTTATGGCCCCTTTAAGGTTAAAAGAGGGCCCAAGTCCCTCTCTCGTCAGTGAAGCAGAGGTTCTTAGACAGTGGTAAGTTCCAGTGTTGAAGAGGAATCAAAGCCAGAGCCTATTGGTACTGGAGAATGTGTTCCTTATTTTCTTTCTTTCTCGGTTTTTCCCTCTCTGTTTCACAGGGCTCTCTGAGTTTGACCTGAGTGATCAATTCAGCTTATAGGACTAGGTCACACTTAGCTAGTGAAAAAAATCTTCATCTTATCAGGGCAGTGTTATGTATTCCCAGTGACTCAAGGAAGGGAAACTGGGCTGATTCTTTTCCCTTCTAACTCATTTTCTGAAAACTACCTTGCTTGACTGTTGCTCTGTTTACTTTCAGAGCCAAGATTAACGCCCCTCTTGCAGGAGGAAGACAACCACCAGAGGCTGCTTATGGGGTTGGTGAGTGGTCAGTGGGCTCTTTAGGTGCCGACAAACAATGGGCCCCAGGAAAAAAGGAAAAAGCTGGCTTGTACTTTTCATTCTGATCTAAGTTTTCATTCATTTGCTCAACACATGGTTGTTGCCAGCCATTATAGACCCTGTGTGTCCAGTGGTAAGCGGCACATGTGATTTCTGCCCTCTTGGAATACATAGTCTAGTAGGAGAGATACACATTAATTAATTACACCAATAAATATATAATTACAAATCACACATGACAAGAAATGTATAGCATTGAGAGTGTTTTTTTAAAAAAGGAAAGAGCAGCATGTTTGTGTCATTTGTATTTGGGGTTTAAAATGTAACAGAATAAAGTATTCTTTCTCAAGAAGTTCTACTAGGATGACCAAAGAAATATAAATCAAAATACATTAGAGAACAGAATTGTCCTTTAAAAAACAAAACCTTTAAAAAAACACATTAAAGAGACATCTGGAAAATCTAATAAAATATTTTAAAATATTGTGTAGACTTAGAAATGGGATAATCTATTACCTTAGATATGACAACTTAAAAAATATGAGAAAAATATGTATAAATCCATATTTATACCCTTGAAACTTCCAGTCAAATAATTTTCTTGGGAAATAGAAATGGCCAAACTTGATCCAAGAAGAAATAGAACAGCTGAAAGCATAATAACCATAAAATAATTTGGGAAAAACGTAAAAGATTATCTTCAAATAAGGTCCTAAGTTATTTAAGAGTTAGTTCTTTCAGACTTTTAAAGGACCAGATTATTCCCATGATATGTAAATCACTTTCTGAGAGAAGATAGAAAGCTTCTCAATTACTTAAAGTCATAATAACCTTAAAACCAAAATTTGACAATGACTACTTTTACTTATGAATATATAGATACTACAAGCTTAATTAAAATACTTTGCGGTGGTCCCTTGAAAATACAACATGGCCAAGTGGAGTTCTTTCCAGAAAGCTTAATATTAGAAAATATATTAATGTAATTCCTATTAAAAATTCAAAGAAGAAAAAAAGATAATTTCTATGTGTGTCTACAAGAGGAAGAAGTCAAATTCCACTTCTGGAATATACTAATTCAGTAAGACAAAGAATGGTCTAATGCAATAGCCAGCATTCTTCTTAATAGAATAGTGGAGGCATTCCCATAAAAATCAGAAGGAAGTTAAGGGTCTTTGCTATTTTCTCCATAATTTTACATTGTTCTGAAAATTATAGCAAATGCAATAAGAAACCAAAATAAAAGAAGATGCTATGATTGTCTAATGCAACAAATGACATAATCAACTGTGAAAATAGAAAATAATAAAGAACTTAGTAAGCTAGTGATTCTATAGTTTCTTTATTTAAATTACAATTAACCAGTTAGGAAAGATATGAAAAACAATATTCCATTTCCAGTTCTTAGTGTCTAGGTCTAATAAAGGTCAAAGAAGAAGCCCATGAAATTTCTCTGTCAAGTGACTGAGTAGTTCACTTGAGAAAGTACATAGGAGTGGGACTAGCATTACCAGATATCTAAATGTGTTGTTGATCTATAATAATAGCAGCAATACAGTTCATACACACAAAAAGGCCACCAGTAGACTCTAGTTTAAATTTGAATCCTTAGGGTATAATAGATGAGGTATTTAAAACCCATGTGAAAAGAATTTTAATCAGTCAGTGGTTAAGTATTTGGAAAAGAAAATTTAGTTTCTTCCTCCCCCAAATACCACCATTTAATACCATAAAACAACAGATATTAGATTAAGGAGTTTAATATAAAAAATTAAACTGTGAACGAATTTGAATAAAATAAGTGGATATTTAAATAATACTGAAATAAGACCTATACTAAATTATAAATTTGACTGAATAAAAACTTGAAAAACAAAAAAGGAAACAATAAGTCTGGAAGAAACATTGGCAACATGTGACAATGATAAACATTTGTATAAAGTTTATAAATCAATTAAGAAAATAGTACACCAGAAGGGAAATGGACAAAGGCTCTGACCAACCAGTTTTCAAAAGTAAATGGCCAAAAAGTCTAGATAGAGCAGGGGAGAAGAAGAAAAAAAGTTTAACATTGTTGTAAGCAAATGACAAATAGCACAAGTGGTTTTTTGGATTTTTTTTTTCTTGTCAAATTGCCAAAGTTTTAAAGATTATGCTGGTGAAATTCAGCGTATAGGGAACTGGATAGCTTCATAAAATGCACGTTTAATATAGTATAACCACAGTGGAAGGTATTCTGGCAGTGTCTTGCAAAACTTAAGTATGTGATCCAACAAATTTCGTTTCTAGGAATTTAGTCTGACCAAATAATTGGAGATATGGCAAACAACTTTTCTATAAAGGATGTTTTTTATGGTATTAACAATAGTAAAAGAAATATCCCATATGTACAGTAAGGGAATAAATAATTATAGTACTCTCATAAAATTAAGTACTGTGCAGGCATTAAAAGTGTGGTAAAGAATAGTGACATAGGAAAACTATTATATGAAAAAACAGGTTACAAAACATTGGAATGGGTGTGCACACCAGAGAGGAGAAAAACCCAAAATGTTAATGTAGGATTACGTAATGTTAGGATTATGGGTGGCTTCAATTTTTATCTTCATGGTTATTGTAGAAAAATTGAAAAGCACAAAAGAGTATGCATTATTTCTTAAGAAGAAAAAATTAATTTTTTAAGGAGCCAAATCAATTAGCACATACAGGAGACTGACTTGAAATAAGATACCACTGTGTATTGGCCCTGAAGGCCACAAGCTAGGTTTCGGTGAGGGTGTTATGTATGTGAATTTGCTAAAATAGAAGATATGTGCATATATGTTGTCAGCTGAATAATTCCCACGGGCTGTTTATTGGCACAAAGATCAGTCACTGAACAGAGTGTTTAGGCAAAAGGGAGAAGAGGAAAGAGGAGAGGAGGGAGAGAAAAGCAAAAGGTGGGGAGGGCTGGAAATGCTAACCACTGCTTGGAGAGGCCCAAGGATGATCAGAACAGAGTAGGTGTAGGCACAAGCCTGTTTGGAGGCACTAGAGTGAATATTTCATTACCTTTGCATGTCAAGGCACTGTGCTGAGTGTCTGGCCACTGTGCAGAAGGAGGTACCCAAGGCATTTCTTTTCTACTCCTGCCTCTGTCCTTCCAAACACCCAAAACAGTCATTCCATATTTAAGTTGTTCCTGTTAATTCCCCAGGACTCCAGGAGAAACTTCAATTCTTTGGTAGATTCCAAATCCTTTGAATTCTAAGTTGCTGATTCCACTGGCTTCTTTGGAGAATTCTCATCAGGACCTGGAGCCTGATGCTCAGTTGCTCACTGTGTTTTGGGCAAATCATAAGTAGTTCCTCTTGAAAATGTTGGGGCCCCCTGATTTATGCTCATCAGAAAAATATTGAGAAGTATGCATTTCTGTTGGTGGGATCTTCAGATCCAATATTTTTCATATTGATAAGGAATGTTAATAAATGGATCTAATTCAAACAAAATGCATGTGTGAGTAGGTTGTGACTGATCTAATGCATATCCTTTTTCAGATGGTGTCTGAGCTAAAAGACCATCTTTTCAGACACCTACAGGGTGTAGAAAAGAAGAAAATTGAACAGATGGTTCTGGACTACATTTCAAAACTGGTTAGTTTTTGCTTTTTGTTCTCCTCACGTCCACCCCACCTCCACCACCTGTATTGGATTCTCAGAATGTGTTTCAGTGAATCCATTTGTGCATTTTTCAAATTAGCTTTTTGGAGCTCTCTCATCCTCAAACCAATGTATTTGGTGCTACAGATTGAGGAAAGGGAAATAACCAATAAACAAAGAACTTGGTTTTAAAAGTGGTTTATTGCCCTCTCTTCAAATAGCAATTATATATCATGGAAGCATAGGACAATGAATTTAGTATGGTTGCCAAATGTTCACATCTCATCTTGGCAACTTCCAGCTCTTTATTAAACAGTAAATAATGATTTCTGTACATGGAGGTTTATGTAGACATGAGAGAACTTGAACTTCAATTCTTAATTAGCTCCAACAGCTCAAGTAGGCCAGATTCCAGCTCAGTTGTATAAATACTAGCACATTGGAGTCTGCTGATGAGATTGGCAGTTTATTAACTGGTAGTAACTTACTGAAATTGTATGATCCAAATTAATAACACCAGTCCATGTATAAATAGAAGTGATATGACTAGATGGAATTTTAAGGCTATCTTGAGTCTTGCAAAAAGCATACAGGGTTGAGACCTGATCCTGCTTAGGATATGCTTAACAAATTAAAAAAAACATTTTTCTAGAAGGAGAACATTCCATTGTTTCTCTTGTTTGGATAAAACCAGTATGCAAATGAGCTGGTGTGTGAACAAATATTTTTGCATTGAACTCTGGAATATTAGTTAAATTTATTAGATGTAACCCTGACTTAATCTCTTTATGTTTAATTTTAATGTTTTCTGCCTTTGTTGCAGTCATTAGTATCTGTTTTTAAATAACATATTTGAATTTCTATAGTAAGGTTTGAGTTTCATGGTTTTTAACTTATGAGGAGAGGTTGGCATTCTCATGTTCTGATATTTATAATCAGGGCATTAAATCTTTCTTAAATTTTCCTTCTCTGTAGAGTTGTTACTGATCTTCCCCATGTTGGTACTAACTTGCTTTCTTTGTCCTTTAACTCATATGCACAATTATGTAACACATCTACCTATGACCTTTCTTTCTGTTGAGTTTAAATCTTATCTTCCAAAATGTTGAGAAAGGTTTTTCATTCAAGCATCATTCTTCCTTGTAGTTAATCATACAGAAGATTTAACAATAGTTTGTGTTAACAAATCCTAGAACCAACAGGCCCAGAAATGATACATATGCAGTCTCAAAACTCAATATCCCTGACTTTCTGAATCGGCAGTCACTGATTGAGGCCTGGTCTCCCTGCCTGCCTTTAAGCAGAGTGGCTGGGCAGCCTTTCTAAAACACGTCCAAGGAAGTAGCTGCAGCACCTTATTATATGGTTTACATGTTATCTTACTTGATTTCAGCCAAAGAGAAACAGACTCTGTTTCGTCGAGGATAAATAATGGTTGCCTGTGCATCTCTGGAGATCCTTTCTGCTTTGTCCTATGTTCTTAACTCACATGTGCAATACATGGATTCATGGCTGATAACAGCTCCGTGGAGACTGCCCTACAGATAATAGACTTGTTGCAAAGTTAGAATGGGTTTCTGGATAAAGCTCTAAGGCAAAGAAATCTCCTTTGGTTGATCATGATTGATTTATTGATCACCTATCTTCTAGTCAGTGTGTTAACTAATTCTTACAACAACCTTATTAAGTACTTCCCTCTCATTTTATAGATGAGAGGACACTGAGATTTGGAGAGGGATAGGTAACTTGTCTAGAGTTACACAACTAGTAAAGTATGGACCCTGGACTTGATGCCAGTCTTGCTCCACAGTTCACACTCATGATCTCAGTGGTTAGATCTTGGCCCTTGCAGTGTAACAGGCCTGGAGGAAACCCGGTGACCCTTGACCTTCACTGATGGATGAGGGTCTGTAAGTGTGAATGGCATGGCCAGTTAGGCAGGCTGGGGCAACTCAGCTGGAGCAGTGCCCACATAGACAGAGGGTGCTCTGTTAGATGCTGGTGCACATTTTCAATCTTTCCATTTTAGATTCCAGCGCCTCACAGTTGACCTCAGAAAGGCTGGTTGTGTGTCTCTGCACAGCCTGAATGCCAGCTGCCCCAAGTGTGCTTGTCAGAGCTGTGGAGGGATAGCTGTAGGGGCCTTGAGGGAAAGGATGTGAAAATTGGTTAATGGACTGTCTTTACCTCTAGCTGGATCTCATTTGCCGCATACTGGAAAGCAGTTGGAGGAAACATAATCTTCACTCCTGTGTTCTCCACTTGTACGCAAGTATTTCTCACTCTTTTTATGGTGTACAAAGAGCCAGAACAACCCTGATTGCTGCCTGTTTTAGTAAAGCTGTTTTGAAACTGACTAGTTCAAAGCAATTCTCACCAGCCCCAACACGATCTATCTTAGTTCTGTGCTTGGCATTTAATGTCATGCCCCTGTTACTTCACCCGTCCTCTTTCCCTGGCTTATGGTTAATGAGAAGGGAGGGACACATGAGCCCAGTATTGCTGAGAAGGGGAATTGCGGTTAACACATTTATAGTTTTTGTGCCTATTGTCTGGTTAGATTTTAGGCATTAGGCTGATGGTCACTGTCATATTTATGAGGCTTTCTACAGGGCATAGCATTTCATGCTTAGCATGAATCCCCCTGTGTGTGATACGCAAGAGCCACTGCTTAGGACAAATGGGGTTTTAGAGATGAACTCCTTGGCTGACATACGGCTTTATTTTGACCCAGCAATAGGCATGGCAGTGCTGCTGAGTTTGCAGTCTTTCACATCATGACCAGGATTTTGGAAGCGACTAACAGTTTGTGTTTACCTCTGCCTCCTGGTAAGTCTTGGCTCCTTTGTCTTTTGGTATAATAAATTTGTTCTTTCTTCTTCACATGGTCCCTGGTCTTTGGCACATTATGAGTTTATGATGAGACTTGTGTGTGAGAAATTGTGTCTGGCATCACTGGAAGAGATGGGCCCAGAGGCTGGTGTCTGCTAACTGGATCTTCCCTGACTACTAAACTATGTTATGGTTTGTTACTAACTTCAGGGAGCTTAGGCTGGTCTCCGTGAAACTTTCTAGGATAATATGAGCCAGTGGAGCTGATTCAGGGAGGTGATTCTCTGCTATCTCCAGGCTTGATTTATCTGTTCAAAATGTCTAAAGGTTAATTAATACTCAGCAGGAAGAGGGTCTGGCTCAGTGCCAAGAATTGAGCTGCTTCTTACATGCTTGGGAACTAAAAATTTCCCTTAGGATTTTTTTTTTAATTGAATCATAATTGATTATACATATTTTTGGGATTCAATGTTGACATATGTTGAACAAATATATTACTAGTATGTATATTGTTACAAATTGTACTTATTCTTTATGCCCCTTGTCCAATCTCTCCCTATCCCCGTCTCCCTCCTCTTCCCACTACTGATAACCCTAGATTTCTTCTCTCCCTCTGAAAGAGTAATGGTTACTCTGTTGATTTGTTGCCTAGATGATCTGTCCAATGCTGAGAGGTGTATTAAGGTCCCCCAATATTATCGTAGAGCAGCTGCTGCTTCTGTCACTCTGGAATGGGCTTTGTGGAGAGAGACATACTCTTCTTTGGTCTCTGCTGGTGACTATCCTTGTGTCAATGCATTTCAGTGCTTGGTGGACCATCTATGTGGTTGTTGTGGCGTCTAGCCACTTTTGTGGCAGCCATGGTTACTGTGGTGGGCCATCCACATGGAGGTGATGGTTTGGGTATGATCCTTGGTGCTGGTGATGTGCCTTGTTGTGGGGGGGTCCGGTCCCTGGCTCTATGCCTCGGGCCCCCAGGCAGGGCCCCGAGGTGCAGACAGTGTGCCTGATTGTGGGGGGGGGTCTGGACCCCAGCTATATGCCTTGGGCCCCCAGACGCTGGTGGTGTGCCTGGATGTGGGTGGGGGTCTGGTCTCTGCTCCAAGCCCTGGGCCCCTGGGCAGGGCCCCGACATGCTGGTGGTGTGCCTGGATGTGGCCCTTAGAATTTTGAAGTGGGATCAAGCCAGGCCTCAAAACATCCTTGGGACATATATATACAGTTATGATTTAATTGGTCATTTGTTCATTCAGTCGACAAACATTTGTTGAGCCACTATTACATGCCAGGTAGTGTGCTAGAAATTAGAATAGTTACAAAAATTAAGAGTCTGGTTGGGAAGATGTGCATATAAATCAGTATCCACTTTAAGAAATAAGCTCCTGTTTGCTATAAACTATGTACCTTCTGTTTGTTACATATAAGTTTTTTTTTTTGGCCAGTAAGGGGATCGCAACCGTCAGCATGGTGTGGTCTGCACCACGCTCAGCCAGTGAGCGCACCGACCAAACCTGTGGCCTCGGCGCTCCCAGTGCCTCACTCTCTAGAGTGAGCCATGGGGCCAGCCCATTTTTTAATTATTGTAAGAACACTGAATATGAGATCTATCCTCTTAAAGTTTTAAATGTACAGTATTGTTAATTATAGGCAAAAAGTTGTATAGCAGAACTCCAAAACTTATTCATATTATGTAACTGACACTTTATACCCAATGAACAGCAGTTCCCCTTTTCCCCCACCCCAGCCTCTGTCAACCAACATTTTACTATGTTTCTGTGAGTCCGACTATTTTAGATACCTCATAAAAGTGAAATCAGGCAATTATTGTCCTGTAACTGGCTTATTTCACCTAGCATAATGTCCTCCAGATTCATTCATAAATGTCACATATGGCAGGATTTCTTTTTTAAGGCTAAATAATATTCGCTTATTTATTCTATATTTTCTTTATCCATTTATCTGACAATGGAAATTTGGGTCGTGTCCATATCTTGGCTATTGTGAATAATGCTATAATAAACATGGGAGTGTACATATCTCTTCAAGATTCTGACTTTCTTTGGGAGATATATCCAGAAGAGAGATTACTGGATCATATGGTAATTCTTTTTAAAAATTTTTTTGAGGAAACTTCATACTGTTTTCCATAGCACCTGTACCATTTTACATTCCCACCGACAGTGTGCAAGGGTTCCAATATCTCCACGTTCTTGGCAACACTCACCTTGTTTTTCTGATAATAGCCACTCAGAGGTGTGAGGCAATATCTCATAGTTTTGACTTGCATTTCCCTGATGATTAGTCATATTGAGCATCTTTTCGTATACTTGTTGGCCATTTGTATGACTTCTTTGGAGATATGTCTATTCAAGTCCTTTGCTCATTTTTAAATCAGGTGGTTTTCTTGCTATTGAGTTGTTTGAATTTCTTACATGGTTTACATATTAACTCCTTATCAGATATATCGTTTGCAAGTATTTTCTCCCATTCTGTAGGTTGCTTTTTTCACTCTATTGATTGTTTCCTTTGCTGTGTAAAGCTTTTTATTTTTTAAAATTGAAACATAGTTGATTGTACATGTCTGTGGGGTACAGAGTTGAACATCAATACCTGTGTGCAATATGTAATGCTCAAATCAGGATAATTAGTATATTCAACATTATTGTTTTTAATGGCCCTTTACCAATTCCTCCATTACCCCTTACCCCTTTCTCTCCCGCTTTCCCACCTCTGGTAACCTCAGTTCTGTTCTCTCCTTTTGAAAGTTCAGTGTATTATTGTGATTGTATCTTTCTTTCCCTTTAAAAAAAATATTTATTTATTTTTTAGCTCCACTTATGAGTAAGGACACATGGTATTTAACTGTGCTTGGCTGCTTTCACTTAACCTAATTTTCTCTAAGGTCATCCATGTTGCTGTGCATGGCAGAATTTCATTCTTTTTTATGGTACAGTACTATTCCATTGTGTAAATATATCATATTTTCCTCATCCAGTCATCTGATGATGGACATTTAGGTTGGTTCCAATTATTATTCCTTTCCATCTACTAATTCTGGGATTGGATTATTCTTGTTTTTCTAGTTCTTGAGGTGTAGTGTTAGGTTGTTTATTTGAAATCTTTCCATTCTTTTGATGTGTTTATTGCAATAAACTTCCCTCTTAGTGCTGCTTTTGCAGTGTCCCACAGGTTTTGATATGATGTATGTTTATTTTCATTAGTTTCAAGAAAATTTTGATTTCCTGTTTAATTTCTTCTTGGACCTATATGTCATTCAGGAGCATGTTGTTTAATTTCCATGTGTTTGTATAGTTTCCAGAGTTTTGCTTATTTTTGATTTCTATTTTTAATCCAATGTGATCTGAAATGATACTTGAAATGATTTCAGTTTTATAAAATTTGTTTAGACTTGAGACTTGATTTGTGACCTAACATGTGGAATATCCTGGAGAGTGTTCCAGAATGTATGTTCTGTGGTTGTTGGATGAAATGTTCTGTAGGTATCTGCCAAGTCCAATTAGTCTAAAATTTGTGTTAAATTCTGTGTTTCTCTGATTTGTTACCTAGATAATCTGTCCAATGTTGAGGTATGTTCGGGTCTCCAACTATTATTATGTTTGAGTATATCTCTTTCCTTAGGTCTAATAGTTTTTGCTATATATGTATCTGAATGCTCTAACATTGTGTGCATTTATATTTCTGATAAGTCTTCTTGCTGGATAGATCCCTTTATCATTATATAGTGGCCTTCTTTGTCTCTTTTTTAGTCTTTGGTTTAAAATCTATTTTATCCAATATAGGAACAGCTATTCCTACTCATTTTTAGTTTCCATTTATGTGGTATATCTTTTTCCATCCCTTCACTATTAGTCTGTGTGTGTCTTTACAGGTGAAGTGAGTCTTTTGAAGACAGCATATAGTTGGGTTGAGCTTTTTAATTCAATCAGCCAGTCTGTGTCTTTTGAGTGGGAAACTTAATCCATTTACATTTAGGGTTGTTACTGAAAGGCACTGTCTTATTGATTTTCATTTGGATGTTGCAGAAGCTTTTTAGTTTGATGTAGTTCCACTTTTATATTTTCGCTTTTGCACTTCTGTTTTTGATGTCATATCCAAGAAATTATTGCCAAAACTAATGTCATGAAGCCTTTCCCCTTTGTTTTCTTACAAGATATTAATAGTTTCAGGTCTTACATTTAAGTTTTTAATCCATTTTGAGTTGATTTTTGTGTATGGTGAAGATAAAGTTTCCATTTCATTCTTTTGCATGTGGATATCCAGTTTTCCCAACACATTTATTGAAGAAACTATCCTTTCCTCACTGTGTATACTTAACACCTTGTTGGAGGTTGAAGACCTTATTACATGTATGAGTTTATTGTTGCATTTAAGTACTAATGAATGTTAACCTTTATGATAGCTGTGACTACGTAATACACATGACATATATCAGCTGGTTTTATTTAGCTAATTTATATCTATCGATCCGTTAATCCATCATTAATTCATTCCTTTATTTTAAGCCAGCACATATGGTACCCATTTTGTGCCTGATACTTCACATAAATTAGCACATTTAATTTTCAACAATCCTAAGTGGTAAGAACTTAAATTTAATCACATTGAATTGTCAGTATCTAACTAGTTTTGGGCCAGCAAAAATGACACTTTCATATGATTCACTTTATATTATTCCCATTTTATAGGTGGTGAAACTGAGGCCAGAAAGGTTAAGAAATTTGCCTAAAGTCAAGACTAAGTGACAGAACCATATTTAAATCCAGGCAGTCTAGCTTCAAAATCTGTGCTTTTTAAACTAATGTTCTTTACTGCCCCTTGAATTTTATATTCCAGTTGAATTAGTTGATGTTGAAACATTGACTATTTATGGACTCAAAGAATCCCCATGTCATCTTTTGGCTTCTCTGCACATGTGATGTATCTGATTAGCTGATACAGGTTGGAATCATTCAAGTTTCCTCTGTTCATAACACCTTATTTTATAAGGTCTTTTTGTAGTAGAGGTACAAAAAGAATTTTATTTATTTATATTTTCTTTATAGGACTTCAAAGTGACCATTCATGAGGAGAATAGATGGTTTTAGATTATCCCAATGGAATATGAATTGTGAAGTACCATCTAGAAAGAGTGAAGGAATTTCATGAAAAATATATATGGCTTTCTGGCTTAAATTCTTAATTGTTTATCCTTAACACAAAATAGATTGACACTTGTAGATTTGTTCACCATTTTTATTTTCCTTTTGAAAATAAAACTAACTTACTGGTGACATCATTATGCTTGGGAGATCATAAAAATCTATCTTCAGAGGGATAAGGAGGGAAAGAAGAAAAATGTTATCCATAGTGATTGAGAATTGTGATGAGTAGACCTAATGGCTTGTGTCCTTGGGTCAGGTAAGGAAGAGCATTTCCTCTCTCCTTTTCTCTTAAATGTTTATTTCCCTCATATGAAGGACATAGTGGAGTGAAGTGACACTGGATCATTGTGTGTGTGCCAATGTGTGTATAAATTCAGGGCATTTATACATGTACATACAAGTGTGCTTGCTTTCCAGGTTGTATTAGTTCGTTTTTGTGTTGCTATAACAGAATACCTGAGACTGGGTAATTATAAAGAATGGAGGTTTATTTAGCTTTTGATTCTGGGACAGCTGCATCTGGTGTGGGCCTCAGGCTGCTTCTACTCTTGGTGGAAAGGGGCAGGTAGCCGGCACATGGTGAGAGGAAATGAGAGAGAGGGGAGGTGAGAGGGGAGGTGCCAGCGTCTTTTAAACAACCAGCTCTCACAGGAACTAATAGAGAGATAACTCACTCACTACCCCCTCCCCCAGGGAGAGCCTTAATCCATTCATGAGGGATCCGCCCCCATGACTCAGACAGCTTCCAACACTGCCACATTGGGGATCGGATTTCCACATGAGTTCTGGAAGGACAATACATCCAAACTCCATCACAGGTCTACTGGGCTAGTGAGGACTGTTTTGAGTTTCACGTGTCAAAAACTTGCAACCAGAATTGGTTAAAGAAAAGAAGGGAATGAAGACCATAAAAAGGCAGTCATGGTTTAGAGCTAGAGCATTTGCTGTTTGAAATGCTGTTTAAACCTGTGTTCCCCTCACTGGCTAGAAGAGGCTTAGGAGCCCTGGAGGATGAGGACTAAAGTTGGATGGAACTGATGCCTAGTTATAGCCAATTTTCTCTGGTGCTCAGGGCTGACATGAGAAGGAGGCCAAGAATGGACCATTGAACTTGGGACTGCCCATGGGATAGAGGATGAAAGGTCATCAAGGATTTTTAGGACATGAACACAGGGTTGGAGGAGGAATTTTGAAACCAGGAAATCAATAGGATCAATAATGTAGTATAAACTTTTCAGAAATAATTTGGTAACTTACTTTCGGAAGAATTTCCAAATCCATTTGAAAAATCTCATGTTTTTGATTAGTAAAATCATGATTTTTTTTTTTCTTTTGGATTCAGGGAAGCTAGTGGACTCATTTTGTTGTCAGCCCATTAACATCTGCTTGTGGGCAGAGTCTGCACTTCATCTGATCCTTGATGTTGCCAGGACTTAGGACTGTCCTACTGCTTATGATTCACGTACTCAGAGAGAAAATTCCATGATCTCTCTGAATCCAAGCCCCTGCTTGTAGGGCATCATTCCTTTGCCATATATGTTCCTAAGAGCAGGCCATGATTCTTCTGTCATTCCCACATCCAGCAGGTTGCCAAGCCTGTATGTGTTACCATGCCTCTCTAGTCTCTTCCCTGCTTGTTCACTGTCAGCGCCCTCATTACCTCTTGTACATGTTCACACAAGGGCCTCTACGGTCTTCATTCCTCCTGCAGCAAAGTGTACTCCAATGCATTCTTTGCCTCTTGCCATATTAATATTCCAAAAGTAAAACTCTGTCTTGCTCAAAAACTTTCAGAGCCTCTCCAAAGTCTCCTAAATTAATAAATTCCTTGCTGTCATTCAGAATTCAACTACTGTCACACACACAGAACTGGTCACATTTAAAAAATGTATATTTATTTTTGTGACTGTTTGATATTCTGCCTCTCCCATCAGACTGCAAAAAGGCATAAGGGAGCAGCAGCTGTGCTTGTTTTGTTCATTATTGTACTCCCAGCCCCTTGTCTGGTGTATGGAAGGGATTTGCTGAATAAATGAACCTTTCCAACCTTACCTCTTAATCATTCCTCTGTCACATGAGATTCCAACTCAACTGGATCATTTCATGTTTTCTGAATATGCTCCATGCCTTCTCACCTTTGGGCCTCTCTGTTCATATTGTTCTATTAACATAGCCACCAGTTATTGAGGGAGAGCAATGTTATAGTTAAAAGCCTAGGCTAAAATCCCAAAGCCTGCATTCAAATTTCGGCTTGCTATGTACTATCCATATGATCCTAGGCAAGTTTCTTAGCTCCTGTGACTCTCTGTTTCATCATCTATGAAATGTGAATCTAGTAGTTCCCACCCCCTAGCATTGAATGAGGATCAAATGAGCCAGTGTACAGATTGAAGTCCTTGGGACAAGTACAGTATTAGCCACTGTTGTTATACCATGTGCTAGGCTCTTTGCAGTCCTGGTTGTAGTTCTCAGAGCAACCCTATAGGAAAGATACTAGTGGTTGCATGTTAGGGATGAAGAAATGGAGGCTCAGAAAGGCTTAGTTACCTACAGCTAGTGAGTAACACAGCACGATGGCAGCCTAAGTCTGCTCATGCTGAAACTGGATTTTTCTATTATCTCAGTATATTCTCTTGCCTCATTTCCACTCCTAGCAATTGCATTTACTCTTCATAGGTCCCCTTAAATGCCGTCACTTCTGTCATTGATCTGGGTTTGTGAATGTTTGGGTAGCCATCCCTATGAGACTTAGGCTTGAGAGGTTACCCTACTTCTCTATTAAATTTCTATAGATTTGCTATCTGGCCATATCATTTCAATTCTTTCTTTTCTATAATTTAGTCCAAGTAGACTCCAAAAGCCTTTCTCTAGGACATAACCAGAGATTAGGTCTATAAACTCTTCCCTTCTAGTCCAAACGTTTTTCTCTTTAGCAGAATAGTCCCTATCCCAACAGCCTTTTAGGCTGGGCATATGGAGTTTGCAGCTTTTACGGACATATTAAACTGTTAAACCATTTTGCATTTAGCAGGTCTTACCCTCTTTTTGCTCAGGAAGGAACCCAAGAAGGGAATACATACTCATTGGGAACTTATATACCCAACACTATACTTAGTTGTGATAATACAAAAGAGGAAACTTGGACCTTGTCTTCAAGGAATTTAGTTGAGTCCAGGCAACAAGCACCGGGTTAAGCAGTTTATTAACATGATCTAATTCATTCCTTCTGGAATGCTGGAGATGCTGGCTGACCACATTTACCCTCCTGGATCTCTCATTCTAGGTTTTCACACTCTGCACATGATCCTTGGGGTTCATTGTCTCCCTTTGCATAACCTGCTGCATTACATTGATAACGGAGTGTTGCTTCTCACCGAAACAGCTGTCACAAGGCTCATGAAAGGTAAGAGACTGAGTTTGCGAGAATGCTAGTTCAGCCTGAGCACCAGCAGAGCTGGCTTCCTGGGTGTGCAACCTGTGCAGACACACAGGGCCTGACTGCACTCAGAAGAGTCCCATACTCGGTTTAATGCTCTGCATCAAATCTTGAGATTCTTAATAATATCTGAACAAGGACCTCCTCATTTTTTTTTTTGTACTGGGCCCCACAAGTTAGGTAGCTGGGCCTGTTGAGTATGGTTTTTCCTGTAACCATCCTTTGAGTAGATCTAAGCAGCCTTAGCCCATCAAGAGGCCCCAAAAGGACCTCTCAGTCCACACACAGCTATTAGAGTCCTTTTCTTTACACAAGGGCACTTGAGGCTAGGAAACTCGGTAGGCTTATTTCTCAAGAATGTGTCATGCAGAGGCTTACTTTCAGCTTATTAACTCATATCAAGAAATGAAAGAAATTAATCAGAGATGCAGTGCTTTCGTTAATTTAAATAAGTTCTACACTATAATCATTCTCACTTATTCAATTGTTGTATTTTAATAGACGTTTCGTTAGTATATTGCCCTTCCTTAAGGTACCGTCTGTTTTCAGTTAGTCAGCAAAATTGCTCTGTGACTGGCAGCCTCTTAACGGAAAAAACCCTTTTTATTCAGTAATAAACAAAAATTTTCAAAGCATTGTTATGTTACCAAATTAGGCTCTTGGGTCCCAAAGCCACAGAAATGGACAATGCACCTAGCAGTAAAGCAAGGAACGCCTTATCGAAAGAGGAGATAAATTCAAGGGGTTAAGAGGTCCATCACTCGGGCCGGCCCGGTGGCGCACGCTTGGGAGCGCGGCAGCGCTCCCGCCGAGGGTTCGGATCCCATGTGGAGACCGGTTCCCGCTCACTGGCTGAGCGTGGTGCGGGCGCAACACTGAGGGTTGCGAGCCCGTTGCCGGTCCCCGGTACGGGCGCGACACCGAGGGTTGAGATCCTGTTACCGGTCAGAAACAAGACAAAAAGGAAAAAAAAAAAAAAAGAGGTCCATCACTCGAGCCGGCCCGGTGGCGCACGCTTGGGAGCGCGGCAGCGCTCCCGCCGAGGGGTCGGATCCCATGTGGAGACCGGTTCCCGCTCACTGGCTGAGCGTGGTGCGGGCGCAACACTGAGGGTTGCGAGCCCGTTGCCGGTCCCCGGTACGGGCGCGACACCGAGGGTTGAGATCCTGTTACCGGTCAGAAAAAAGACAAAAAGGAAAAAAAAAAAAAAAAGAGGTCCATCACTCTGCACCTCTGGAGATGGTCCGTTCTGTTCATCTTGGTTGCGCCATGGGTGCATGCTCAGTTAGGGCTGTGGTCCTTGCACCTGCTCAGGAGGTCCAAGATGATGGTGGTGTTCACTTTAGTCACCACAGGAGGGTCTTTGTAGCAGTCACCTTGAAGCTTTGTGTGCATGCAAGAATTCCTAAAAGGGTCTTAAGGTTAATCTGTAACTTAATTTTTACAATTATGGTAAAAAAACCTTGGAGGGGTTTTGCAACTCAGTGAATATCATCAGTTCTCCTCTTATCTACCCTGGGGTGTGGGGGTGTCTCAGGACTGAGGAGTGGAAAAGTAACAAAGTGTCTTCTGTAGGGAAAATGGAGTCAGTTTGGTTCACAAGCCCAGCCCTGTTCTGTTTCAGATTAGCTTGAGAATACAAGGTTGGGAATATATATTATCTGGATGAACCATTCAAGTGTTAATAACTTGCTGAGGTAATAAAATAGACATTTCTGTTTTATTTGCCAATCTCTTTCTCATAGATCTGGACAATACAGAGAAAAATGAAAAACTAAAATTCAGCATCATTGTGCGGCTTCCTCCGGTAATCCTGAAGTATATTTTATTTTTTTCCTAAGGTTTGGCATGACCCTTCTGCCAAGAAGAGCATTTACTGGCTTTAAGCTAAAGTCAGTTGACTTGTTTCATATTCCGGCCTTTTCCAAGAAATCCCATCCGTTCCCACCCCTTTGTCAGCTGTTCCCCACTGAGCCTACAAACGCTTGTTCCTCTGGCTTTGCAGTGCTTTGGCACAGCTCACTGAGAACATTTAGCCATTTTCTCCACTTAGGAAACCACACAAATAGTTCCATCTGAAAGGGAGGGAGAGGGGAAACATGTGCTTTTGGCACTTAAACTGATAAGAAATTTAAATACAGGTGAGGTCAGAAGGTTCTGGGACTGCATTTCCTCCTACTGCATTTCTACCAAGGCAGGAAAACATTCCCAGGTTCACAGGAAGAATGAGAAACATGAGGGAAAGAGTTAAAAAGGCACTACTTTTTTGTTGTTATCATTTGGAGGATATTAGCTCTCTGAATCAGAAATACTGTGAAAATGTGAAATTCCACAGCATGGTCTTCAGAGCCTCTGATTCTGCAAGTTTCCTGACCCTAAGAGCCTTGGCCAGCTCTGCCCACTGTTTATATACCTTGAGTACTTGCACCTCTGGCACTGTTCTCCCCCAAAGGGGATGTCCATTGCCTTTCTGGACCTAATTGTAACAACCCCTCCCCGTCATGGGCTTACTGAAGCAGAGGCAAGAATAGGAAACAAAGCATATTTTCCATGGCTAGCTATCTCTGGGGAACATTGCTGAATATTTAGTTTGGACTCCAAATATGATTTTTTTTTGACCCATACTCTTAGGGAATTAAAATTTTCTAGGCAAGACATGGCAGAGAAGTTGATATAAACATGTCTACAACCTTTAGTTTCCTTTCAAAACATCACTTAGGGTTGGCATGTACATCTCCAGTTTTGAAGAGAAGCAGATAAACTCCTCTTCAGAAAAAGAATTTGGCAACATCAGTGTATAAACTGCTCTTCTCAAGGTGTAGCATTTGAAGGAGTATTTATTCAAAATTTAGAAGCATACCTCCTAAGAACATGGCCTTTCTCCAAGGGTCATTAATCATAAAGGCCCTGTCCTTTGGACTAATTAGCTACTTAGGAATACAAGTTTTAAAATTATGAATAGATACAAGGTGTGTTTGTTTTATGCAGTGTGATACATATTGTCTCCTACATATTTTTCAATTTGCCTAATAGCTTATTGGTAAGAAGATCTGTCGACTCTGGGATCATCCTATGAGTTCTAACATTATTTCCCGGAACCATGTGACACGACTGCTTCAAAACTATAAGAAACAGGTGAGTCCATGTGAAAGCACAGCCAACTGTACTTTTTTGGATCTTAACTGCCCATTTCAACATACCCATATGGACTGAAATTGTAGTTACCAATTACAATTTGTGCTGGTTTGGGAGAATCAACTAATACTGGAAGTGATTTCTCTTTTAGCCTTGGAATTCTATGATTGACAAGTCATCATTCAGTGTAGAATTTCTGCCTCTGAACTACTTCATTGAAATTTTGACAGATATAGAGTCGTCCAGTCAAGGTAATTCACTCCTCTGTTCTCAAGGTTTTCTTGCTTTCCTCTTGACGTCAGTCATTCTCTATTCACTTCTGTATACTACTTTTCCCCCCAAATACCTCTCACTTACAAGTAGGTCGCTATTGCAAGTGGTTTTTATTAGCAATATGCACGATTTACTACCTAGAGTAAATTATCAAAGGAATAATCACCTTTGAAGTTTTTTAAGGATTTAAGGGGCTTAAATCACGTTTGGTTGATGGTCTTTCTTGGTGCCGAAGTTTAATACATTTTAATGACACATTTTCAGAATAAAGTGTTCTATTAAAATATAAAATAATTATGATTTCAATAAGCTGTGGGCACAAAGTTGTATATTTTCCATGGCTCCATAGTAACTCTCTGTTGCTTTCCCCCCAGCTGTGTATGCTTTTGAAGGACATGACAATGTGGATGCAGAATTTGTGCAGGAAGCAGCTCTGAAGCACACCACAATGCTTTTAGGCTTATAAAGGAGAAAATGCAATGGGATCTGCTTCCATATTTTAATTTTGCTCATTACCTTACTCATGCTGAGAATTCTTTAGCAACGTTTAAAACAGGTAACAGAAGTTAGAATGTTGAGCCGTCTGAATTTCAGTTTGGTTCTTGTTCAAACAGAACTAAACTGCTGTACCTCATCCCAATTTTGAACAGCTGATGAGCAGTCAAGTGTGGAGAAATAATAAACAGTCCAAGGAGGCAAGTGATAGCATAAACAATATTCTTCCTAGTAGCTTAATAGGCCAAAAACTATTTCTATTGCATTCTCAAATAAAATATGCTTTAAAAACAGAGCAAACAGTGCTTTCTAGGCAAAAATTAGGTTTGTCATTGAAAATATAACAAGCAAAAAATTAAATGTTGCATTAAGAACACTATGTGGAAAGAGGCTACTTTAAAAGAAAAAAACAAAACTGAATTTGTATTAGATCAAATCTGTCTCCCATACAGAATAATTTGTAACATATAGTAATTTGTACATACAGTATTTAAGGTTTGTCTTCGTGTTAGTTCAGATGGAACTGTATTTAATTTTTTTTATATTTATAAAAGTTTAATTTAGTAATATCTTGTCATTAAAAAAACAAACGCTGAAAAGTTTTGGCCTGACTCTTTGTTTTTTGAACATAGCCTTTTTTTCGAGCCAGGAGTCATGACTCCATGAACATGTTCCTCCAAGGGCCCCCAGGACACCTAAATACTTCTCCCGTTTTTTCTGTCTTTGACAGTGACTTCATTCTAACCCATAAATACATTTGCTGCCTGGGGTCAGCCCATAATCCTTTTTCTCTCTCTCTCTCTTCACACTGTTTCCCCCAGTGAACTTGTGAATTTTTAATTATAAATATCACTAACTGGTATGATAATTCAACTTCTTTCTAAAATCACTGTGTTGTGTTATAAAACTGTCCTTTTCTATAGAATTTCCCTTTTTGGCTAGATACTTTCTGGTCACCAAGACTCAAAATCTTAGAGCCAAATCAGCAGTGCAAAGCCGATTCTTTCTCTTGTTAAGGTCATAATCTTTCATTCCCTGCCTTCATTCATTTCTTTCATACCTGTATTGTTAAAGTATGCAGTATTTCTTTGTATTAACCACAGGGTTTATACAGTGTTGCCTATCAAAGGCAATCTTAAGTCATTGCTTTATAATGACTTTGCAAAGCAATCAGACTCAAGAATGGGAATAAATTTCCCTCCAATATGGTAGGATGGGGGCTTGGAACAGATTGATTAATCAAAATAAAGGGATGTGATATTTCTCCCAGAGTTGTAAAATAAAATTCATAACTGCCACCAGTATTAAATAAAGATAATTTCAGCATAATAGTAAATGTAAAAGCATGGGTTTAAACTTACTTGTGTATACTTATATGTGAGAAATTATATCAGAATTAGGAAAATACACTTGGGTGAAGTACAATATAATTAGAGTAATGAAGTAAGTAGAACTGGCCTCATTTTTCTTTCCTCTCACATGTAAAGTTATAAATATTTTCATTGAGATTTTTTAAAATGTGGCATTAGAACTTATCACAAATTTATTTGCAGATAATGTGAAAATTTTGGATTTATTAGAAAGATACATTAGGGCATAATTATTTTTTTCAGCAAAAGGATTCCTATAAAAAGAATCACCATAACATTACTTTAGAAATGACAAGCTTCACTACTGCTTTTTACTTGATTTAGATTTACCAACATTAACTTCAAATGCCATTTGTTATTCAACAAAGTGAGTTATACTTTTGTGATACTTGGAGTATTTTCCTTTTCAAATGGTCATTCTATCTTTTTAAATCACATATATTGAACAGTATGTGTTTAATAATCAAAGACCACTCTGCCCATTTCTGTACTTCATTGAGAATTGATTTATTTTTATTGCATTTTTTACAGCATTCACCTACTATATATTTCTGAAATGCAGTCAATATAGAGTGAAAAAGAAATGAGCAATTCAAATATATTCTTTGACATAATTGCAGAGCAATTCTATGGCCTATTCAATATCATGTAAAATATAGTAGTTGGTAGGTGTAAAAGGAAACCATGTTGTACTGTGTTGTTGATTGTGGGTTCCTTATTTATCTGTAATTTTAGAACTATTATGCTCACATTTCCCAGCTCCGAGTACAAGGAAGTCCTCTCGTGGAGACGCCTGGATTGGTTCACATATTCAGATTTCAATTGGCTTTATGACAGGTTTCCTTATGTGCCTCATATTGGCTCCAGGTTCACTGGGCTTAAAAGGAGCCAAAGCACCATATGGTTTTGGCAAAGGAAGAGTGGCATCTGCTTCTGGAATGTAAGCATTTGGACGCTGCTCTGCAGTCGTGTGAACACCATTGGGCAGCTGGCGATTATCTGCTTCCACAAACTCCTGCAAAGAATGATTTTTTCCTTTTCAGTTTTCTGAAAGTTCTGAAGTCACTTCATCCTTGGGTCTCAAAAGACACACCTGAATCTGAGCAGCCTTACCTTGTGCTGGCTGATACTCCCCAAAGGGATGAGAGGGTAGGTGGGAGGTGCCACCACACACATGTGCACACACACACACACGTATGTTGCATCTCATTGGAATGGGCTGTATTGCTCACTATTCCTGGGGTTTAAGGTTTATCAAAACCTGGTGGGTCCTAAATGTACTATGTTCCAAGCTCAATATCTGTCATCAAGGACTAATTATTTCCATGTTTTTGACAAAGGCAGGACAGTGTATTTCAAATGTTACAATGGAAGAGATAAGGGGTAAAGTGGAACCAGAGGAGAAAAATGGCTAGCAGCTTGCTCTGAGCCTCAAGATCTTCAGGATCTTCTAGAAAGAGTAATCTCTTACGGCACTAAAAAGAACTCTGTGATGGAGACATGTAAATGGCAGTGGGACATCGTAGGTGAAATCTGGTATAGTTTCTAGGTGGTATGGAAATTACAAATCAGACCCTGTGCTCAAATATTCCTAGCATGTATTTGGCATGTACCTTTTTCTTATATTAGGAAGTGAACAGTGATTCTTTTGGAGACATCTGCTTGACAGTCTGGGTGAGTTGTATATCCCCAGGATGCAGTCTCCTGGGATAAGGGATGCCTAGTTCTAAGAATATTGAAAAGTTATGGAGATAGACGGAAGAACTTGGTACCCAACTTGCAGGCAGAGTCAGTGAGAGACCTAGATTTAGGCCAGTTGTGGGAGAAAAAAGGGGTGGCACTGAAGCTGTGATTCACACCGGGGGTGGTGCCTGCCAAAGGCTCTGGTAACCGTATCGTGACTGGAGGCCTCCCAGTATTCTGTGGAGGCCACAGCAGATGGGCATAGAAGAGTCAGGTGTGGTCTGAGCAGGGGTGTGAAGACAGAGATTGGAAACCTATGGATAAAGCCAGTGCCAGCCTGGTCATAGCTACACTAGTCCAAAATGTAAGACTGCGGGGTGGGACTTGATGCCTGCCAAGTGTTCTTCAGGGAGTATTCTGGCACTTTGTACTTATATACTTTGACTTGTCTATGTAATACCTTTTTTTTTTTTTTTTTTTTTTTT